GGGGGGGTCGGTTCAAGAAGAATAAAAAAAGAGCAATTACAACCAAATCAGGAGAACAACAACAGCATCAACAAAAAATCAGCAGAATAAAAAATTAGAAACATCAGAAGAACAAAAATTAGAAACATCAGAAGAACAAAGATTAGAAACATCAGAAGAACAAAAATTAGAAACATCAGAAGAACAAAGATTAGAAACATCAGAAGAACAAAAATTAGAAACATCAGAAGAACAAAAATTAGAAACATCAGAAGAACAAAAATTAGAAACATCAGAAGAACAAAAATAAGAAACATCAGAAGAACAAAAATTAGAAACATCAGAAGAACAAAAATACGAAAAACCAGAGAAACGCGGGGAACAAAACACTGAGGAGAAAAAAAAAAACACCAGAGAAAAGAGAAAAAGAAAACCAGCACTCCGTGTGGTCGTCCTACCAGACAGTGCCAGCCTGGACTCCATGAGCAAACATCAGGGCTCTGTTGATGTCCTTGGTGAACACAGCAGCTCCCAGGCCGTACGTCGTGTCGTTGGCACGGCGAAGCACTTCGTCAAGGTCCTTGAACTTCAAAATCTGCTGGACTGGTCCGAAAATCTGTCACGGGCAGAGCAGGAACATGGTTTGAATAAACTCACCACGATGATTTCCATCCGAAAAAGAAAGAAATTATGAAACAAAACAATACTGCAGTTACTCATTATTCTTACAACACATATGAAGATTTAACTCTTTATCTCCGAGGGGGACAAACCCACAGCGCCGGGGCCCTTGTTTGGTGCTTGACCTAAAATTGACATAAACACCATTAACTCTTTGACTACCATGGGCCGATCTATCGGCTCCATAACTTCCGAGTTCGTGGCCAAGAGCCGAATTATTGGCTCGCGCTTTTCTTTCCCTTTCACTTCCACAATTTGACTCAACCTTTTCGTTTCATGTTTTTAAATGCTCTGCTTACCGTACATCAGTCAACCAGTGAAGGAATTTGGCCCCTTTTGTGTTTTTTTCTGCTGTTTTTGGGGGCATTTTTTCATGTTTTTTTGACCAACCCTGTGTTGCTCGAATTAGTTTACACACATAGCAACAGAAAAATGGCTGATAACCCATCAGGTTCCCCCCCCCCCCCCCCGTCACAACGTTTTTCTGCTTCAAAAGCCCTGAAAAAGTTTGATGGGGAACTGTCAGTACTTACCGATAGTGATGTAGGAGGTGATGAAGTTAGACCTGAGTCGGACAGCAGCGACAGCGATGAGAATGAAGATTCGAAAAGAGGGGCGTGTGTGTAGCGTTTTTTTCTCTTTTTTTCATTGTGAGTGATTTCACCAAAAGTGTGACAACTTTGTATATACTTGACCATTGTGCATGAAACTTGGCCCAGTTAGAGACAATTGGATATACTTCAGTATGACCAAGTCATGAAGTGATTGGATTTAGCAGCTATACACTGTGAGAAATGTAAGTTGAAGATTATTTTTTTATTTTTTTCACCTTGTGTTCACTTACCTCCCATGTTTGTTTGGATTTATGATTTTTTTTCAATTTTTTAATCAGATTAAAAATATTCTGCATTCAATTACCTTCATTTTGGTATATAACATGTCTGACTTCCAGATGGAATTATGCCCATCAGACACAAAAGAAGAACAGGGGTACTTCTGAAATTCTAAGACTAAGAAATGCCTTGGTCACAGCGCGGAAAATGCCTTGGTTGTCAAAGAGTTAAATGGGTCATTAAATCGAAACTAGCAAAATTATTCTGATGGTTCTTCATCTAGTGAAAAAACTTCCAGAATAAAAGACCTGTTTTCAGCTGTTGCCGAAAAGTAATTTAATTGTTGATGTCGAAGTCGTCGTAAAGGAATGTGCCCAAGCCGCTGTCAGCTACTCACCGACACAGGGGTTCCGAACGCAAGCAGTTGGGAGCAGTTTACCGGAGATAAAGAATTAAAATCACATCGACTACTTCTCATAACACTCTACCATACGGTACTTTTTTTTTTTTTAATAGTAGAGGGTTTTACGACGCTCGCAACTGCATAAGGTCATATGAGCGCCAAGGGGTGGGTGTCAACAGAGAAGTCTTTACAGGGAATCAGACTTGGACTGCTCACCTCTCTAGCTTCAACAGCACAAGGTCTGCTTCGACTATCAAGGCACCCCAAAATAGCAGGTCACGAGGGAGTGACAAACATACAAAA